AACAAAATAGAAAAACAAAATTAAATAAATTACAACAAGATCTTTTGCAATATTATAAAGAAATAATAAATCATACAAATGTCTCATCACAATTACGAGAAATTCAATTAGCAATAGAAAGAGAAACAAGATTATTTGCTGAACAAAAAGTAACTTTATTTGATTTAGTAAATGAAAAATATCAAAAAAATATACAACAAGAAATAATTAACAATATTAATGAGAAAATAAATAAAGAATCCAATATTGTTAAATTACAAGTCGATATAAAAGATGAGATTAATGATAATAATAATCTTACTTTTCAACAAAAATGTGAATTACATAATATACATAATGAAAAAATTAGAAATTTTCATAGAAATACTGAATTAACAAGATTTCAAGAAGAAATAAAAAATGAAAGTTTTCTTGGTAATTTATTAGATAGAGAACATTATAATAAAATGATACAACTTAATATATCATTAAATGAAGACCAAAAAAAATAATTACAAGATTTAAGAAAACAACATTTAATTTTATTAATTAATAAAAATTACGACTCATTATTAAATGAGATTTAACAATCAAAAGATATTGAAAGATTAAAAGATGATGGTTATTATATTAATTGAATAGATAAAGTTAGACAAGAATATTTAAAAGATGAAAGAACACAAGATAAATTAGATCAAGTAAGAAGATCACGATTAGATTTTCTTAATATTAAAAATGAAAATCAAATATATAATTCATTATTAATTGAGATTCAACAATCAAAAGATATTGAAAGATTAAAAGATGATGGTTATTATATTAATTAAATAAATAAAATTAAACAAGAATATTTAACTAGTGAAAGAATACAAAAAAAATTAGATCAAACAAGAAGACCACTATTAGATTCTCTTTATGATAGTGATGGAAATCAAAGTTATGATTTATTATTAGAATTAATTCATAATAGTAAAAATATTAACGAAATATCATCAGATTCTGAAATTTCAAAAGATATACAAATGTTAAATCAAACTTTATTAACTGAAAATTAAGATTTAGTATTATTGAAAAATACAAGAAAACAAAATTATAATGATGGATTATATAATATTTTAAAATCAGCAATTGAAAATGAAAATAGTATTGATAAATTAAAAACTATTTGGTTACAAGCTATTAATAAAATAGAATATGAATATTTGACAAATGAACGAACTAAATCAATACTTCAAGAATTATTGAATAAAAGAATTCAATATTTACAACAATTAGAAGAAGTACCTAAATGTCTGCAAACAAAACATTCTATTGAAGAAGTTGAAAGTAATAGTCCAACAACAAATCCCAATAAAGCAGACCAAGAATGTAATTTAGCAAGAACAGTTGATCAACAAATAACATATATAATTAATCAATATAGAAAATTTTAAATGCTGAAGATCAAAGAAAATATTTTCCTCGTACAAAAACTAAAACAGTATCTGAAATTATTAAAAAAGCTTATAATACAATACGAGATAAACGATCATTATTAGATGTGTTATACTATAAATGGGTACTAGGAAAAGATGATTCATTTTTTTTTGAAAAAAACTACAAAGCAACAAAGATTAATGAAACAAAAAATATAATCAATACATTAAATAATTATTTGTATGAAGAGCCTAGAAAAAAAGCAATAATATTGAAAGAAAGATTACAAAAACATAAAGATTTTAGAAAATTATGAAAACATCCAATGATATTTGTTCCAGCAAGCATTTCTTGGGATAATCCATTTAAGTTCTCTGTAGAAAAAATAGATGTGATAGTAAGTATTAAAGTTATTATCGATCAATATAAAAATTCATTAGCAAATATTCTCGATATCACACAAAAAAATATTGATATTATACAACAGAGTTTATCAGATATGATGCTTGATTATAAAACTGAAAATGAAAAAAAGAATTTTTTAGATGTTGTAACAGAGGTGTTGATAAATGATGAAGAAATTGAATATATTAAAGAAGAGATAAAAAATATGTTTAATTTATTTGATTTTAATTTTTAAATATTTAATACAAATATAAATTTAATATAAATAAAATAATAAAATATAAAATATAATAAAATTAACCAAATGTTTTAACTAATTTTTCTAAAGTAAAAGCAGTATCAGCAGCATCAATAACTTCTAGTTTTAATTTATCTAAATGAATATTAATTTTACGTAAAAGATTTGGTAGCATTGATTTAACAAGATTAACAAGTTCTGTAATATTAATATTAATATCATTTAATTTTTTTTCATTATCAGAATTTTGATTTTTCAAAAGTTCATTTTCTTTATCAATTTTTTTTTTTTTTTTTAATGAATCATAGTTAGTTAAAAGATTATTATGATCAGTTTTTAAAGATTTACTTTCTTTAATTAAATCTTGTAAATCTTTTAAATCTTTTTTAATTTTGTTAGTATTTTTACATGCTTGATCGTATTTTGCTTTTAACAATTTATGATCTTTTTTTAGTTTTTTAATTTCATCATTTTTTTCTTTAATAAATCATTTAAATCACCAATTTTTTTATTATACTTATCTTCAAGGTTTTTAACAATTTTTTCTAATTCATTCTTCTTTTTTTCTTCATCTTTAAGTTGAGTTTCAAGTTTTTTATTTTTTTTTATTAATTTATTTATTTGTTTTAATAGATTTTCTTTCTTTTCTTGAGCAAGTTTTTTAGTTTTTTCATGTGCTTCTTTTTCTTTTTTCAAATTTTCCTTTTCAGTCTTGTAAAGATTTCTTGTTTCTTCATGATGAAGTTTTTCAGTTTTTAATTTTTTTTTGGTTATATTATAATTTTCTTTTTCTTTTTGTAACTTTTCTAAAGTATCTTCATATTTTTTTTTATATTTTTCAATTTCAGCATTTTTTGTTTTATTATCATCGATATGTTTCTTGTTTATTTTTTCAATTTCTTTTTGATATTTTTGGTTTGTTTCTTTAATATCATTTTCTAATTTATTTTTTGTTTCATTATGTTCTTTTTTTTTTCTAATTTATTTTTTGTTATTTCATGAGCTTTAATTTCATCAAGATATTGTTGATGGTCTTTTTTTAATTGTTTTTGAAGTTCTTTATTTAAGTTAGATTCATTAATGAATTTATTATAAAATTCATCAAGTTTCTTTTTAGTATTATTATGTTTTTTAATTTCATCATTTAGATTTACTTCTTTTTCAGTTAAAAGTTTTTTATTGTTTTGATATATAGAATTTGTTAGATTATATAAATTTCTAAGATTTGTTATTTGTGATTAAATAGTTGAAAGTTGTGTTTTTAAATTATTCAAATTAGCAAGATAAGAATTTGCGTTTTTATTACAATAACCAGAAGTATTATAATAATAATAAGTATTATTATAAAGTTTAGTATAATAAAGATTTGTTCTTGTCTATCTGAACAATAAATTATAAGTAAGCAAAAAACCATTTTGTTAAAAATTTAAATGATTATTGTTTATTAAATTCTTGGGTATATGAATAAATAATTAAACAAATGATTGAAATTAAAATTATTAAAGAAATTATTAATTTTTTAAATAGAATAATATTATATTTATATAAGTTATTTATATTAATATTATAAAATAAAGTTTAATATAAATTTAAATATAAAAAGAAACATGTTTGTATATTAATTTTTATTAAAAATATCATCTACATCAGATTCACAAATACCACATCCTGATCTTGTTGTTTTTACTTATACACAAAATCAAAAACAAAGAATTGCCGAAGCTTCTGCTAAAATTGAAGTAATTTTAAAACAAAAAGATGATGAATTACGAAATCAAAAAAAACTTTATGATGATTTATTAAAGACATTAAATGATATTGGTCCTATTGTTGAAAAAGCAGTTAGAGAAGCATTACAAAACTTGAATATTGATAATGATTTAAAAGAAATTAATGAGGCTCTTAAAAAAATTGATAATAAAGATTTGAAAAAACTTATTAATGAAAAAACAGAAGAAATTAAAGCAAAATTAGATGATTTTCAGATACTAACTCCTATTGAAGCTGATGATATTGCAAGTACTTTAGAACAACTTGCCAATGAATATCAATCTAATCTTGATACAACAGGAAATAGAAGTAATCCATAAAAAAAAAATAAATAATCAATCAAGCGATCTTTTAGAAAAAACTAAAAAAAATATTACTATAATATGTTATCATATAATTGATATTATTATTATAACAAGTATTTTTATTATAGTAAATTTTGTATTCGATAAAAATATAAAATGTATAATTTTTTAGTTTAATTGTACTACTTTAATTTTATATAAATAAGATGTATTTACTTATCAATATTTTTAAATAAAAATGATTGCTCTAATGTTTATTTATGGTGTTTTTCATCTTCATTGCGCAATTATGCGATGTATCAATATATATCATTGGATTCTTTTTTTTAATGAATATTATTATGAAGTTATAATTTATACTACAAGTTTTGTAAGTCTATATTTATATATTTACATAAATTTTAAGTTACTTATATAATTAACTTTAATTTTTAGACAACGATAACATTATTCATTTAGATAATTAAAGTAAAAATGTGGTAATAATGTTTTTAATACTATTGCTAATTTTATTTTTTATATATAGTTTTTTATTATAATTTTATATATTTATATTGTATATGGATTATTAAATTTATATTTAAAGTATCATTTGGATTATGTTGAAATGAGTTATTATTTATTTTTAAAAGTTAAGAATTACTATAAATAAACTTCTTAAGTTTTTATTTTTTTAATTATGTCTAATAATGAAAATATATCAAGTAGTTCTAAAAATAAAAAACATGATACAACATCAGAAAGTTCGAATGATAGTGATTTGAAAACAAAGAAAATTATTTTAAATGATGAGATTGAAAAAATATGTAAAGCTATTGAAAACAAAGAAAATATAGATTTAGATAAAACAATAGAAATATTAAAACAAGTTAGCAATTTAACAATAACTAATTACAATAGAGTTTATAATGAACAAAATGAAACTATTAATGCATTGAAATTGATTAATTTAAATTTAGCATGTGAAGTACAATATTATAAAGAATGTCTTTGTGAAGAATTAATACAAACAATCAAAGAATGGTTTAATGATTTACTTGATATGTTAGTGTTCTTTATTTTAGAATTAAAATATATAAAAAAATTAATTACATTAATAAAAAATATAATACCAGTGTTTATTTTAAATATTCTTAATACAATACATTTTTTTGAAAAAATACATCCAAGAAATTGGACATTTGTATAACATTTTTTTACAAAAATTATTTTACCTCTAGTGTTTATAATATTGTATCTACTTAGATTACCTATTTTAAGAACTGTTAGCGATCTTTTAATAATTTACATAATTACAATCATATTTTTTATCTATTATTTAAATTATTTATTCAATTGTGAATTAACTATCATAATATTACAAAATTATAAATAGATTTATAGTATTTATATAAATTCTCAAATGATTCTATTATTAAATAAAAAATATATAAATATTTTATTCTTTAAATAATATTAATTTATAAAAAAAAACATACTTTGTTTGTAATTCATTATAAGTTATTGTTGCATATATGAATATGCAACTAAGGAAATTATAGAAATTACAATCAGAGTAGTAATCATTTTCATTGTTTTCAATTATCAGATAGTTTTTGTTGATATAAAATTTTAATTTTACTTATTTATATTTAATTATTTATATATTTTATTTTAAATAAAGTTTAAAGATAAAAATTAAATACATATATGTTTTTGATAACATTTATAAATAATAAACTTATATTTTTAAACTCTATGATTATGGGTACATTTGTTGTGACCTGTTTTATCACAGATACTACATCGATAGATTCTCTTATTTTGATTTTTACATTTATGTGTTCCAACACTAATATGAGTTTATTTATTGAAACCATACAAGATAACCAGAGTTGGCATAGACTGGTCAATGGTCAAGCTTGACCAGACCAGTTTGACCAATTTGACCAGTTGGTCAAAGGGTTTAGTATTGGTCAAATTGGTCAAATTGATCAAATAATATATAAAGTATATAAATATATTTGTTTATTTATTTGTATATTAAAATTATTTATTTAATAGGTTAGACCATTTGACCAATTTGACCAGACCATTTGACCAATTTGACCAGACAAGTTCGATCAACAAATTTTTGGTCGACCAGTAATTTGACCAATCCTGAAGATAACATCTTGTTTACAACATGTTGAACAACTTAATTTTTTTGGATTTAACATCTCAGAAGAGACAAAATTTACAATAATTAATAGAATAATTAAATAGATAATTTTTTTATTTATACTAAAAAAAAAAATAAATTAATTAATAAATATCTATATTAAAAAAATATATAAAAGAAACATACTTGTTTTTATTTTTTTTTATTTTATTGATCAAAGAATTAAGAAGTGCTATTTATAATTATTTAACTAATACAATTTTAAAAAAGTACATATTTAAAATCTATTATAAGTTATTTTAATTTTTTATTTATTTTTTATTTTGTGTTTAGATGAGAGATATTTATAATAATACAAGAGGATATACAAATGCTAAAGGAACAGTAAAAATCAATGGTTATCCTATCAATGTTGTATTTGATAGTAGTTGTTTAGAATCTTCTATGCCTAATCATATTAGAGAACAACTAGGATTACAAATTACTGATTATAGATGTTCTTCTACTACATCCAATGGTGAAAAAAAAACATGTTATGAAATGTTAATGGTTGATATTGAAATTGGTGGTAAAATTGTTAATTTTCCAATTAAAGTAGTTGAATCTATTAAAGATTATCTTTTGTTAGATACATTTTTTTTTATAACTACACAAGTGAAGCTTAATTATAAAAAAATAATTATTGAAATGAAATATAATCATGAAAAATTTTCTACACTGTTTACTATTTCAAAATAGATTTTATATATTTTATTTATAAATTTTTAAATAATTTGTTGTGTAACAAAAATTATTATAAAAAAAAGATATAAATTTTATATCAATTAAGTTTTAATAAATATGAAAGCTTTAAAGGATCTTAAATATAAACAAAAATATAAACATTTAAAAAAAGAAAAAGAAAAATTAAAAAATTATTATAAAAATGAATTTGAAGAATTAGAAGATAAATTGGCTTCTTTAAAAATTGAAAATGATGAATTAAAGAATAAATTTTATACAATTGAAAAACTTAAAAAAAAACAAAAATTATATACTTGTCAATATAATGTAAAGATTAATGATATTGAAACTAATGTTTGTATCGATTCTGGTTGTGATAGAATGAGTTTTATGACAATGAAAAAAGCAAAGAAATTAGGATTAAAAATTAAACCAGCTGATAAAAATGATTATTGTATAGGTGTTGGTGGTCAATCTAAAATAGAAGGTGTTAGTTCTACAACAATTGAATTTGATAGTATTAAATTTTCAATTCATTTCGAAATAGGAAATACTAGTAGTATTTTAATTGGTTGTAATTTTTTAAAACATTACAATGCAGAAATTAATTTTAAAACAGAATATTTAAAATTAACATATAATGATAAAACTATTAAAATTAAAATTAATATGTATTGGTTTATTTTTATTTAAATAAATATTTATTCTATAAATTGAATGATAAATAATAATTATAAAAGAAGATATTAAAAACTTAAAAAATTTAAACAAAAAATAGGTAGGACACGAACAAGACCAAATAGAAATGCTAAACATTCATCAGTTGCATGTGAAAGATGTAAAAAAAACAAAGTACGATGTGTGATTAATGATGATAATAAATGTAAAAATTGTACAAAAGTTGGGGTAAATTGCATCATTCCCGAAAAATCAAAACGGGGTCCAACAAAAAAGAAAAAATTAAAAGAAACAACATAGATACAAAAATAATATAAAAGATATGAATGTTTTTCCGATATTTAAAAAAAAAATCTTCAAAAAATTTATACAAAAATGTCTTCATATAATTCTCGTGCTGCCGTCACATCTGGTTCTTTGTATCATACATCAAATGGACACATTCCATCAAACCAAGAAGAACTTTATTCATCTTCAGATGAATATCCAGCATCTTTAGATAAAATGAATTTTTTATCGATTGTACTTAAATAAAGTTTAATTTTTATTTATACTTTTATAAAATCTACAATAACTGATACTTATATAAATCAATCAACAAGAGACTTAAAATGGTACAAAAGAATGTTTTGGATTCTTTTGTTTTTTTTTGATTATTGTAGTATGTTTATATTTTACTTCTCAGAATAAAATATCGATTTTAGAAGCAGAAAAAAATGATTTGTACAACAAATATTTTGATATGTACAATGAGATTATTGGTATGATAGAAAAAAATAATGGCCATCTTATTTTTATAATAGAAAACAATAACAAATTACTTCATAATAAGATAGCACCAATCATATAGTTTAATTTTTTTTTCGCTTTGTAATTATTATTTAATTGTATATAAAATTTTCTTTTAAAATAAACTATTTTTAGTAAAATCATTTTCATCTTTGAATTAAACTATTTTTAGTAAAATGACTTTCATGAGTCATATCTTTGAATTAAACTATTTTTAGTAAAATGGCTTTCATGAGTCTTATCTTAATTTAAACTATTTTTAGTAAATAACTTTCATATATCATATTTTCAATTTGAATTTTTTATGAGTCATAGTAAAATAGTTTTTGAGTTTTATCTTTGAATTAAATTATTTTTAGTAAAATAGCTTTCAAGTCTTATTTTTAATTAACTAATTTTAGTAAAATGGCTTTTATGAGTTTTATCTTTGATTTAAACTATTTTTAGTAAAATGGCTTTTATGAGTCATATCTTTGAATTAAACTATTTTTAGTAAAATAGCTTTCATGAGTTTTATTTTTGAATAAAACTATTTATAGAAAATTATTACTTCGAAAAAATTTTATTAATTAAAATATATTTATTTATTTATAAAAATTTATTTATAATATTATTTATATTAGATAACAATTTTAAAATAATAATATAAATAAAAAATTAAAACAAAAAAAAAAACTTTTAGAAATTTTACATATCAAATTTAAAAGAAAAAAAAATATTCAATAAAAATTTTTAGTATAATTCAGGAGTTGATACATTTTCAAAGTTATTAATTTGTGTTTGTAAAGTTCTAATAGTTTGTTCTAAATAATTGATAGTTTGTTGCATAAGATCTGTTTCACATTTATAATTTCCTTTTCTTTCTTCTCTTTCACATTTATGAGTTTTTTCTTGATTTTTCAATCTTTCACTATATTCATATTCATGTTTTTTTCTTATTTTTTCAATTCTTTCAACTTCCTTTTTATAGTTTTCAATTGTAAACATTAAAGTTGTAATTGCATTTGTTTTTGTATTAATTAATTCTTGGTAAAGACTGATTTCATTAACATGATTTTCTTTTATTTCTTTTTTTTGTTTTTCAAGTTTTGTTTGGTAAAGACTGATTTTATTAATATGATTTTCTTTTTGTTTATTAAGTGTTGTTGTTAGTTCATTAATCTTTACTAAAAGTTGATTTTTTGTTATGTTATTACCAGACATTTTTTCTGGCAATAAGTTACATATAAAATTGTAAAATTTTAATATTTTTATAATAAAATTTTATATAACAATATAATAGTTGATAAGAACTTGAAGTTTATTTATAGTTAAACAATTTAATGATAAATATATAATATAATACACATTTTATTAATTATTTAAAGTTTTCTTTATTTATGATGTATCTGAATCAAATAATTTAATTCGAATACATCATAAATAAAGAAAACTAACAAAATAAAATATTTTATATTCTATGTGAATCTAAAAAATTAATAATTCTATCTAAGTTTTCATTAAATAAATTTTTTTTCATTTCAACCCCAACTTGTTATTTAATTAATTCAAGATTCATATTATAAACTTTGTAAACATATAACCAAGAAATAAACAAAAAAATTAAAAATATAAAAAGAATAAATTGATAAATTAAAAGATGTTTTTGTAACATCTTTATTGAATTTTCTAGAGAATGAATTTTACTCTCATATTGAGTAAATTCATTTGTTACTCATTCAGAAAGATAATTTACATCTAAAATAAAATAAAATATTTAATAATATTAAATTTTTTAATAAATAATTTATAAATTATACCTTCAGAAGAAGCAACAATTTTTTCAGTAATCATTTCAATTTGTTCGATTACTGAAACAACTGCTGTTGGAAAGAAAGTTGTCATTTTGTTATAATTGTTGTTGAAATTTTTTGTACAAAAATTTGTTTTTATAAAATATTTATACTAATTTTTGAAGAAAAGTTAATGTTTAAATACCTGATGCTTGTGATTCATCATAAGAAGGAGGCGAGTCTTTATAAGTTTCTTGTTAGTTATTTCTGCCAGATAATGTAGACATGTTTGTAACAAAATATTTCAATAAGTGCAAAATTGTAAATGTAATATAAGCAATCGAATCAGTATTTCAATAATAAGAATAAATTTGTAACTATTTAATTTTATTTGTATTTTTAAATAATGATTAAAAAATTATTAAGTACATAGAACATTTGTATTTGAAAATCATTTCTAATATTAATTAATGTAATTGAATCAAAAGTATCGATAAGAATTATTTTTAGTAAATAATAATTATATGAATTTTTTTTAATAGTAATCTATATTTAGTATGATGATCATTTATATAAACTGTTGAACTGCAAAAATTTTCACTTCACTTGTTCTACTCTTCGATGACTATACATTTTGAAACTAGGGCCTCTAAACTTCTATAGTTTAAACTATTCTAAACAGAATCCCTATAAAGTTCATGCATTAAATTTTTTCAATATAGTAGAGAAGAGTGAATAAGTCAAAATGTGTTAGATAGTTTTTATACAATTGGCCATATCAATATCTCTTTGATAAATGAAATTGTAGTGTAGAAGATTTAGCTTAGTTGTTTTTTTATTAATTTTTTTGTTGGTCTTAAAAACAAAAAAAGAATTTCAAACAAAGACTTGTAAGCTACACTTACAAGAACTCCTGGTATGTTGAGGCTGTTCTCTGGTAGAATAAGCAATACCTGAGTTATTTTTATTTAATGTGATAAGGAATATATCAATATTGGTTAGGGCTAGATATATTTCTCTCTTTAAAAGGCATTAAGATTATTTATGAGATTTTTATTTGAAAATGATAAATAATCTACGATTTTATGATCCAAACCTGCTCATAATAGAATCACACATTAAATTTTTATAATTTAATGACTAATTGGATCAATTTTTTTATTATTTTTATTTTTATCTTTTATTTTTGTAAAGATTTTAATTAATAAATAAAAAATAATTGGTTAATTTTTTGAATTAAAAAAATATAAAAATATATAAATTTAATAAAAGTTCTTTAATTGGAAGTTTAAAAATATATTCACTTGAAAAAAAAACTGAAAAATCACCTTGGAAAAAATATTCGATTCATTTGAAGTTCTATCAGCATGAATCAAATTACCAATTCTCAAATTTTGTAAAAAATCAAATTCTTATCAATTAGTAGAGATTGACACAACACTCTTCAATGAAGTATCAATACAGAAAGAAGAAATCACATTTTTAACTGATCTCGACAATTTCAATTTAATTAAAAATTATACTTGGTGTTATTATAAAAGAAAAACAGATAATACATTTTATATCGCTTTATATAAAGGAAAAAATTTTTTGCAATTCCATCAAATGTTTTATCCAAAATTTAAAATAATTGATCATATCAATAGGATAGGAACAGATAATCGTAAATGTAATCTTAGAGAAATGACATCTTAACAAAATTGTTTAAATTGTAGATTACAAAAAAATAATATATTAGGTTATAATAGAATTTCATTTAATAAACAAGAAAATGCTTGGGAATTTAGATGGAATAAAAATAATAGACGTAAAGTTAAATGGATTTATATTACAAAAAAAAGAAATCATGAACAAGCTAAACAATTGATTATTGATTTTAAATTAGAACATGATAAATTAACTGGAAATAAAAATGGCTATATTGTTTAATTAGTTATTTTTAAACTATTAATAAAAGTTTTCCAAATATTTTCTTTATGTTTTTGATACTACATATATTGTAATAAATATTTTGAATAAATTTTTTATTCCTTGATTGTCTTGGTAAATTAAGTTTAAGAGCATTCCAGACTGACTCAATTGTATTACTATAAATTTTTCGTTTTAATAATTTAATATTTTTTTACTATGATTTACTTGTTTATGTTTAATTCTATATTTTTCAATACTACAATAACTTTTCCAGCTGTCAGTATATACATTTGATCCTTTTTTAATATGTTTTTTAATAATTCTATGTATTGTTTCAGTATTTCTATTTTCTACAATTTC